TGTGCACATTTCTCCCCAGACCCGTTGATCAAAATATCTTTACCAGATAACACCACACCTCCCTATCCGGTCAGTGCTCTACCTCTGTATCCCTTCTCCAAAGATTTTAAAAAGAAAGAAAGAAAAGAAGAAAATCCTAATAACATTAGGGGGAAACATGGGCAAATATTTTTGATCCTCAGATGGAAACTGTTTTTAAGCATGTGCAGAAGCCAAGAAGTCATTTAGGACAAGACTGATACTTTACAGAAAAATCTGAAATTTGTGTAAGCAAAAGATACTATATATAAACTCTAAAACAAATAAATGGCAGTAAAACACATGACCAAAAATTGCCTTAACTTAGCAAAACTTTTAAAAATTTTATTTGACTTATTTATTTATTTATTTATTTATTTAATTTTTTATTTGATCAGTGAGAGAGAGAGAGAGAGAGAGAAAGTGAGAAAGCAAGCCGCAGCCTCCAGTTCCGGGACCCAAACCACAGTCGGCCATGTGGGAATCTAGTGCTCTTAACCACCACGCCACCTGCTGACCCCAGTAAAAGTTCTTAAAAATTATGGGGCCAGCAGGTGGCACAGTGGTTAAGGGCTCTGGCCTCCCACATGGCTGACTGCAGTTTGAGTCCTGGACCTGGCAGCTTGCTTTCTCACTTTCTTTCTCTTTCTCTCTGTTCCTTTTTGGTCAGATAAAAATAAAATAAATAAATAAAGCTAAATAAAATAATTATTTAAAAAATCAGTAAGATAAATTAGAGAGGATATAGACAGTTCACAGAGAAATACATGCAGTCTAGCATGGTTCTGCCCTCCCAGATCTCTGCCCCTCTACCCACATAAACGTGACCAAGTCTCCAGTGTAAGTTTTCTTCAAAACTCTTCCCAAAAATCTGGGCAAATATAACTTTGTCTGCATCTTGATTTCACCCCGGCCAGGAACACGTTCTGAGTGCTCTGTCTTTGTGTTGTCAGTGAACAGACATCACACGGCTACGCACGCTGACAGGCGGATCCTTCGTTCTTTTGCAGGTTCACATCTGGAGGCAAGCAATCAATAAACGTGAAAAAGTGCCCTCCCTAACAAAAGTTTACAGACTAGGCCGACCCTGCAGTGCAGCGGTTAACTACTGTACACAGGGAGCCAGATCCCACATGGCCAGCGCTGTTGGGATCCTGGCCCCAGCAGCTTGAAAAACATACTAGGCATGTATGTGTGCCGCCCCCAAATCCTGCCAGGATGGAGGAACGGAGGAGAAGTGGTTGCGGCATGACCATACTCCATGGGGAGGGCTTTCTCCCTCTCTTTCTCTCTCTCTGGTGAGCACATGTACCCTCTACCAATAAAAAAAGAATTACAAACTGAAACAAGATCTTTTTCAACCCATATTGGCAAAGTTGAAAACTTTGATGACGTGGAGTGTTGCCGAGGGTGGAGGGAAATAAGCTCCCTCCAGCATTGCTTAGGTGGTGCGCACTGGTTCACCGTCTTTGGAGGGCAATTTGCAATATCAGAATTTTTTTTTTCTTTTTTTGGAGAGGCTTTTTGCTATAGGGTGCGTGCGCTCACCAGAAAGACAGAGATGGAGAGACAAAGTGAGAAATCACCCCCCAGCGGGGATGGCCACACCGCAATCCCTTCTCCATTTTCCTCTCGGGATCTTGGGCACGCACGCACACGCACCCGGCGTGAGTTTAAGCTGCCAGATCCGGGACTCAAACCGTGGTAGACTACATGGGAGTCCAGCAACATAGCCATTATGCCAACTGCTGGTCCCGCAATATCAGAATTTTCAAAACATTTTTTAAAAAGGTTTTTGCCATGTGGCACGTGCACTCCCTGGAGAGGGAGAGGCAATGAGAGGAAAAGTGAGCTGTCACTCCCCAGGGGATGTGGCCACACGGCACTCCCTTCTTCTCCATTCTGCTCCTGCAATTTGGGGCGGGCACCCACACATGCCTTGAGTGATTTGCAACCACAGTTGGCCAGGTGAGAATCCAGCACCTTAACCACTATGCTGACCTGCTGCTGGCCCCTGCAATATCAGAAGTCTAAAACTGTAACTTTGACCTAGGGATTTATTCTATTCCTAACCTCATGTATATGTACAAAGATATAAAATCGAAGATGTTTATTGCAACTCCGTGCAGTGAAAACTGTGGAAGCAACCGAAATACCCATCCACAAGGATAGCGTCAATACCTTGGTGTTCCTCTGAACACTCTGGCTATTAAAAGAACGAAGGATCTGCCTGTTGGTGTGCGTAGATGTGTGATGTATATTAACTAACCACACAAAGATAGAATACTCAAAATGTGTTCCTGGTCGGGTTTAAATAAAAATGCGGGCAGAGTTATATACTTGCCCAGATTTTTGGAAAGAGTTTTGAAGAAGACTGACACTGGAAACTCGGTCACGTCTATGTGGGGAGTGGGGCAGAGGTCTGGGAGGGCAGAACCATGCTAGGTTGCATCTTCATGTGTGTTATAGGGAATGGCTTGATTTTTTTCCCCCCACAAGCATGTTATTTTCAGGATTTAACACAAGTAGATGTATTTTAAAGTTTATTTTTTTCTTCCATGAGAGAGACAAAGTTAAAGAGAGCCAAGGCAGAGAGATAGGTACCTCCAACTCCCATGATCCACCCCCAGCTTCAGCCAGCCCCAGATCACGGGCACATGCATGTCTGGCATGTCTGCAGACCTGAACTTGGGACCTTTCTACATGAGTCAGCTTTGCAAGTGTTGAGTTACCATTGCACCACCATCTGGCCCTTAAAAATATTTAAGAAGAAGGGTCAGCAGGTGGCGTAGTGATTAGGGCTCTGGACTCCCATGTGGCTGACCATGATTCAAGTCCTGGACCTGGTGGCTTAAAACTCACGCTGGGTGCATGTGCGTGCCCAAAATCCCCAGAGAAGAATGGAGAAGGGATTATGGCATGGTCATCCCCCCGAGGGGTAACTTCTCACTTCTGTGAGCTCACATGCCCTAAAGCAAAAACGTCTTAAAAAAGAACAAAAAAGTGTGTGTGTGTATGTATGTATGTATGTATGTACACACACACACACACATGAGGAAACTAATGATGAAAGGGAGATACTACTACTGAAAAGTTCATTTCTCTTTGGGCCCACCTTTTCTTGCATTCACAATTTTAAATCTGGAAGGGCCCAAGAGGTCACCTCCAGTCTTTGCTTTGTCCATGAGAAAAATGAGACCAGGAGAGATTTCAGCGAGCTGCCCGGTGCCCTGGCCAGCCTGTCCGCAGATACCGGGCTCCTGGGATGCTTTCAGGAAAGGAGCCGATGGCCCCTTTATGTGCATGACTGGCCTTCGCCTGTGGACTTGCCTGCCCTTCCCAGCATGCACTCCTCCCGTCTCACTTCCTGTATCGTCACAAGTGGGACCTGTTCAAATGCAGATCCCGGCCCATGACAGTGGCACGTGTTGCTAAGACATCGTGCCCCACAGGCTGGGGCCACATGGGCGCAGTTCTGGCCCGACCTACTGGCTGGGTGTGGTGGCACAGCTGCTCAGGAGGCTGAGGCGGGAGGATTGCTACATGGGGAGACCTTGTCTTAAAAATAAGCAAACAAATAGCTTTTAAAATGCCAATATCCAGGACCAGCAGATGGCGTAATGGTTACATCACTGGACTCCCATGTAGTCAACTGCAGTTCAGGTCCTGGACCTGGTGGCTTAAAACTCACGCCAGGTGTTCCATGAGAAAAATGAGACCAGGAGAGATTTCAGCGAGCTGCCCGGTGCCCTGGCCAGCCTGTCCGCAGATACCGGGCTCCTGGGATGCTTTCAGGAAAGGAGCCGATGGCCCCTTTATGTGCATGACTGGCCTTCGCCTGTGGACTTGCCTGCCCTTCCCAGCATGCACTCCTCCCGTCTCACTTCCTGTATCGTCACAAGTGGGACCTGTTCAAATGCAGATCCCGGCCCATGACAGTGGCACGTGTTGCTAAGACATCGTGCCCCACAGGCTGGGGCCACATGGGCGCAGTTCTGGCCCGACCTACTGGCTGGGTGTGGTGGCACAGCTGCTCAGGAGGCTGAGGCGGGAGGATTGCTACATGGGGAGACCTTATCTTAAAAATAAGCAAACAAATACCTTTTAAAATGCCAATATCCAGGACCAGCAGATGGCGTAATGGTTACGTCACTGGACTCCCATGTAGTCAACTGCAGTTCAGGTCCTGGACCTGGTGGCTTAAAACTCATGCCAGGTGTGTGTGCATGCCCAAAATCTGAGAGGAGAATGGAGGAGAAGGGATTGTGGTGTGGCCATCCCCCCGGGGATGATTTCTTGCTTTCTGTCTCTGTCTCTCTGACGAGCACACACATCCTGTAGCAAAAATCTGTCTCAAAAAATAAATAAATAAAAGCAAATCTCAAGGCATTTTCCTTGGAGGGTCAGGTTCTGTGGACCAGGGTAGGGCCCTTCACTGTGCATTTTACAGGCTGCACTCTGAGGTGCTTCTGAGGGAGGTAAGGGCTGTAGCTCCCTCTGACAGCATCTCAGCTCGGCCCCGTTGGCATTGTCTGTGCATCTGGGTTGATCCCACCCTGGAGAGGGAAAGTGGGGTGCTCCAGTTCTTTTTCTTTCTTCCCACTTACCCAGTTACTTCTAGCACTTCTTCCCCTGTGCAGAGGGGCCACTGGCAATGCCGGGACAGCCAAAGCTGGGGGGCAAATGACAGAGCCAGTGCTTATACTGCTGGGACTCCCTACACAGTGCTCTGTCTGTGGCCCTCCTCCCCGCCTTATCAGGGTTGGGCATTCAGTGGCCTGGATTTAGAAATGGGGAGCAGCCTGGGCATCGTGGGTGCCTCTGGGGTACCCCTCACCCCGAGTCAGCCGTTTCTGCAGTTACTGTCCAGCATGTTGAACAGAGAAGCCTGGCCTGCTCGGGTGTAGGTAAGAGCCTCAGGAGGCCAAAGAACACCAGAATCCATGCCCGCCGGCACTGAGGGTTCCCTGTTTCTGCCACAGAACCTCGCAGGGGCCACCTTCGCGTCAGGAATCAGGTGGATGTGGTTGGGCCACTTGGAAGTCCCTGTTCCTGGAGACTGATCCACAGGAGGGAAGGCCAGTAACAGCCCAGTGTCCTGATCGTCGAACCTCACCTGCTGCTCCAGGTAAGCCCCCTTCATCATCGCACCCATCAGGCTAAGCCTGATGCTGGCTCCTCTGTCAGCCTGGGCGGTGTGGCCATCCACCCCCTACAGCCTGTCACTCTGCAGCCAGCACTCAGACAACGGCTCTCCCTAACCCTCCTAAACCCACACCGTGACAGGAGGGCCAGGAAGGGCCTAACGCCTTTCTAAAGAGCACGGTTCCAGGTGATCCTAGCTCCCAAGGCCTGGAGAGGGGGTGGAAAACTCTCCAGCAATGGTTAGGACGCCTTCTGCCCCTTGGAAATGCCCCAGCCTGAGCTTCCAGCTGGGTTCCCTGAGTAAATTTGCTTTTCTTTAAGATTTAATTCATTAATTAATTATTTTCATGTGAGTTTTGCCAGAGAAAGACAAAACTAGAGAGAGGGAGAGGGAGAAAACAAGCCACCAGCTCTGGGAATCGAACTGTGGTTGGCCATGTGGGAAAGCCAGTGCCTTAACTACCACGCCACCCACTAGCCTGTCCCCCTGAGTGACTTGCTCTGGTTTCCCCAGAACCCAGCCAGACACAGCTTTTCCGAGAGTTCCCTGACTCTCAGTGCTTTCTCCTGGGGAAAGGATTAAGACAGATGGTATCTTCATAGACTGTCGGAGCTGGAAGGGATCCTAGCCTGTAATCCCACCGCAATCGTGTTCTCCTTCTCAAGCATTACTTGTATCAATAGTGTAGTTTCAAACATTGTCACTGAGCATCTGGGAGGAATCAGGTGTAATCTTGTCAAAATAGCACAGGAAGCCCTCTGGCTTCAGGCAGCCCTGGCTGGGTTCCACTCCCTCCTCTGCCTGTCCTCCACGGGTTCCACTCCCTCCTCTGCCTGTCCTCCACCGAGACTCTGCTCTAGGCTCCTTTCCCTTCCTCCCACCTGCCCGGTCACTTGTAGCACTTCTTCCTATGCAAAGGTGACATTGGCAGTGATCCGACAGCCAAAGCTAGGAGGTGTCAAAGCCAGGTGAGCATCAAAGTGAAGCTTTCTTCCCTATTCAAGTGAGTAAATAAAGAAATCCTTGAGAAAGGATTAGATAGTCCGGAGGAAACTGATTAGCTCTCTCTACTAGACAGTGTCTAAAATCTCTTTTATGTGACAACAGTTATCCTGCATGGGCTGTTGGCCAGGAAGATTGCATTTGTTGCTGTTATCTATAAAAGTAATCTTAGATAGTGTTCTTTTCTGTGCAAAGTGCTTGATGTCCACGTCCCTCTTTTAATTTTCTGGTCCTATCTTGGGAGCGTCTTCTAGAACAAGGAGCCTTAGGCACAGGCAGTATTTCACTTCCATGCCTCCAGCCTCGCTCACTGCCTCAGCCCCCTGCCAGACCCAGTTCCTCTAGTCCCGGTTACCACGAGAGGCAGCACTGATGGTAGTTAAAAGCTCAGGCTTTGGGAGCCAGTAGGTGGCATTGAAGTTAATGTGGCTGGATCCCATAAGGCCAACTGTGGTTCGAATCTCAGACCTGGTGGCTGGAAAATCACACCAGGCATGTGTGCGTGCCCCAAATCCTGAGAAGAAAAGGGAGAAGGTATTGTGTGGCCATCGTTCCTGGAGGGGTGTTTCTCACTTTCCCTTACTCTCTCTCTCTTCTCTCTCCTCTCTCCAGTAAGTGCACGTGCCCTGAAAAATATATAATTAATTATTTGTTTTTTTAAAAAAATGCTCAGGGGACCAGCAGTTAGCGTAATGGCTTTGTCGCTGAACTCCCATGTAGCCGACTATGGTTCGAGTCCTGGACCCGGTCGCTTAAACTCATGCCGGGCGTGTGTGCGTGCATGCCCAAGATCCCTAGAGGAGAGTGGAGGAGAAGGGATTGTGGCGTGGCCATCCCCCCAGGGGGGTGATTGCTCACTTTCTGTCTCTCTGGTGAGCGCATGCGTGGGGGGGGCGGATGTGTTCATAAAAAAAAACCCCCAAAAAAAAAAAAAAAAAAAAAAAAAAAAAAAAAGCTCAGTCTCTGGAGCTAGACGAGTTCACATCCCAGCCTGACCACCTGCTAGCCTTGTCATCTCTCTGAACTTCCTTCTCTTCATCTGTGAAATGGGGATGCAGATTATATCCCAGAGTGACTGTGAGGATTAAATAGGTTAATATCCACAAAGTGCTTGGAACAGCATCTAGCACCCAGCAGGTACTTTACACGTTAGCTCTGATCGTCACTCAAGTCCGTTCTCTCTTGACCACTCCGCTGCCTGATTAACCTGTCTAAAGCACAGTGCCGTCACCCCGCTCGCTCCTCTGCAGTCATGTGTGGCTCCCCACGGCCTCCTTAGGGAGCCAGTAACATTTATTGAGAGAGGGTGTCCACCCTCAAGGTAGGTGAGCGGAGTCCCTAAGGAATGGAAGTGCAGCCACCCACAGCCCCATAGCTGGGGGTCTGATCTACGCCCTTCTGCCTCCCCGACCAAAACCTAGCTATGAGCGGACCTAGATTAGAGGGTGCTGGATCTGCACACGGGGTGGCATGGATTCCAGGGGTCCGCTGGGACTGCAAATGCAGTGCGTCCTATTTTGGACTCCAGCTCTGGTACACATCAGAGTGTGGAGAAAACACCTGGCCAGTTCCCAGAATGAGCGGAGACTGCAGACACAGGCATACTCCCTGAGGAGCAGAGGCCAGGCGGCAGAGGTCAAGTCATTGTCCTCACCCATCACTGGGAGCTGGCTGCAGCCTCGGCTCCCATAGCTCAGGTGGGGAGCCCGAGGCTGCCCTGATCTGGCACTTGGACAGAGAACTCCAAGCTCCATCCTACCTCGTGGTTGCCTCTCTGGCAGGAGAGAGGCTGCTCATAGGAAGGAAGGAGCACTGGGCTGGAGCAGGACAGATGACGCTTGAAACCAGGGTCTTGGTCTGGCAGGGAGACCTTGGCCATGTCCCTGAGCAGCCTCTCTGAGTTTCCGTTTTCCCATCAGTAAAGTGGAGAGTATAATATCCACCTCACAGAGTTGTTGTGAGGCCAGAATGGAAGAAAATGCCCAGAGCACCCGGGCACTGCCCGCCTGCCTGTCTTGGGTGGGCGCTTGGCCATCTGCGGTTACTCTGCTCAGACCATCAGAGTTGCCCTTCCAGGCTGCCAGGCAGAGCCACCTCGTTCCTGCAAGCTGGTTGCTTTCCGTGAGTGACATTTTCCTCACCTGGCCGCCACTCCAAGATGAAGGGAAGCAGCAGTGGTTTTGGCAGGGGAGAGGAGGAGGAACGGTCAAAATCTTGCCAGATGCCTGGCGAGAGTGAGAGGCGCAGCAGGGGAGCAGCAGTTCGGTCTGGTTTTCTCGGAGACGTTTCCACTTGGAGGCCCGGTGCTGCCAAGCCTGGGGAGCCAGCAGCGAAGCAGAGGGAGGAAGCAAAGCCAGACCACGCAGCCTCCTGCAGGTGGCATTTTTCTTATTCGCTCCACGAATGAATGGCTATGTGGAGATGCCAGGCACTGTGCTAGGCGCAGGGGATTCAGCAAGTGAAACAGACAAGGACCCCATCCTCTTGGGGACTTCATTTTAAAGGGTGTAGACAATTAGCTGCATAAACTATGGGTGAGGGATGTGAGAACGAGATAAATGCAAGGGAGGTAAAAGAATGAGAGAGAAGAAAGGGAACTGGGAGGGCCAGAGCAGCCGCGTTATTAAGTAGAGTTGTCAGGACAGACTTCGCCGAAAAGTAACATTTGAAATACACAAATTGTGTGGTGGTTAAGGCATTGGATTTCCCACCTGGCTGACCATGGTTCAAGTCCTGTACTCAGTGGCTTGAAAATCACGCTGGGCACGTGATGTGTGCGTGTCTCAAATCCCTAGAGGAGAATGGAGGAGAAGGGATTGCAATGGTCATCCCCCCTAGGGGGTATGATTTCTCACTTTCCCTCTCTCTCTCTCTCTCTGGAGAGTGCACATGCCCTATGGAAGAAACCTAGAAACCCACTGACAACAATAAAAAGCAATAACAAAAGTCACACAAGTTGTTTGCTGCCTTTAGGAATGCCTGAGCGCCCTGTTGCTCAGAATCAGGGCTAGGAGCCTTTCATGAGATCCCTAGGACAGAAGCGAAATCTAGGAGCCCTTCTAGTCCCAGTCCAGAGAATGTTGTGTTCCTCCAAAACCTTCAGTGGCTCTCTCCTGTCTACATGATTAAGTGCAAATCATTCAGCTTGAGAGTCAAGGCCTCATGGTCTGGCCCCACCTGCTGGGATCTCACCAGACCTTCTCGCCCCATCTCTGCAGCCCGCCATTTCTGGGAGAGCCCACTCTCCACTTGCCTTTTCTACTCATTTGTCCTCTGTGCCTCGACGTGCTGTCACCACTTTCTGCTGCCCCCAAACGCCCCCTCTCTGAATGAAGGCTTCCCTGGCCCTGATGACTGCATCTTGTATCTCCCTCATTGCGTGGTTCTTACTCTTCCTGGGGGCAGGCATCGGCTCAGCCATGATCTCCACCTGCCTGGAAGGGCCTCGGGCTCCTTTGCCTCCGGCAGGGCCCCAGCAACACTGGGACAGGCCGGGGAGCCTTTGGCAGAGGGGGAGGTGAGCAGGAAAGGAGAGAGGAAACCAAACTGTAGGAGAGATCCAATGGAGGAGCCAGTGAAGGCAGAGGAGAGCCACCCCCACCTTACTTTCCCAGACAGAATGGCAGGCCTGTCTTTCCCCCAGCAATAGCTACCACTCCCTTTGGCATCCCAGGCCAGCGCTTTGTTGGGTTTAACTAGAATACCTAGCACCGTAGCTGAACTTACTTCCTCTGATTGCGTCATCCGGGTTCATGTTGCTTATTCAGGTCCTTAGGTAGCCCGGATTGGAGTGACTTCCTGGGCCAGCTGGGGCCATGGCAGTTAAGGATGCTGGGCCCCACATGGCTGACTACAGTTCAAGTCCCTGATCCAGTAGCTTGAGAAATATTCTGGGCACGTGTGCATACATGCTCCAAATCCCCGAGGGAGGAGAAAAAAAAAACAGAGAAGGGAATGTGGAGTGACCATCTCCCTTGGGG